CGTTTCGTGAAAATCGGTTCAGATTTAGATATAGCTCCCATATATAGTTTTCTCCGATTTTATGTAAATGATGCACCAAAGTCCCTATATACCTTTCGTTTTGCATGAAATTAGGCACAGCGTACTGAATTAAGTCTAGAATGATGTGTGCTATGTTTCGTGGAAATCGGTCCAGATGTAGATATAGCTTCCATATATATTTTCGTCCGATTTAAGGTAAATGGGGCACCAAAGTCCCTATATATCTTTCGATTTGCACGAAATATGGCATTAGGTACTGAATTAGGCCAAGAATGACGTGTGCCAAGTTTCGAGAAAATCGGGTCAGATTTATATATAGCTCCCATATATATTTTCGTCCGATTTAAGGTAAATGAGACTCCAAAGTCCCTATATATCTTTCGATTTGCACGAAATATGGCATAGGGTACTGAATTGGGTCCAGAATGATGTGTGTAATATAGACCCAATGATTGGCCGACCCGCACACAATTTTGTCCTATGTACTGAAGTAACTATAATCTTTCGTGTGTCAAGTTTTCTTGAAATTGGTTCAGATGTACATATAGCTCCTATATATACTTTTGTCCGATTTTATGTAAATGGTGTACGAAAGACCCATAGCTAGGTCGTTTGGCAAAACGTATTGACGTTAATATAAATTAATCTCGGGTTTCCTTGAAATCGGTTCAGATTTATATATAGCATACCTTCCATATATAATTTCGGCCTATCCATGTTGATTGTAAACCAAGAAATAAATGGGTGCCTGATTGATATAACATTTTAAACAGTGAAGCATACCAAATAGCGTACGTAAAGTTTGCTTAAAATCTATTTACAAAGTATGGAATAGATTGCAGAATGGCATGTGTAAGGATTGATGTTAGTCGGCTTACTTATAGATAAAGATTTCATTTTAAGGTTCGTTCATTTCATGTCAATGTTCCTTCGAAAAGACATCTGTAACGATAAATATGTAGACACCTGTAAAGATATATATGTAGAATATCCCCAAAGTGGTGAAGGGTATCATATAGTCGGCCCAGTCCGACTTTAGTGCTTTCCTTACTGGTTTCTTTCTATTTTAAGTACTGATGTCCGTTCACAAACAGTTAAAGATCACATATTTAAGGGGATCCCTGCGAAAACACTTGGCTTTCTCACCAAAAAATCGCAATGCCAAATTTGTAGTCATCTTGGTTGCGAAATTCGCCTAAGACGACCACAAAATGTGCGAGCGGAACTTTATATGGAGACTAGGTCAAAACAAGGAACTATATCCATCATTTTCAGCAAAAATGGGTTTCACCCCCCAAGAAGAAGCCGATATAGAATGTCATAATACTTCATGAAGTCTGACGAATATTTCTAGCAAGCGAAGTGACCAATTTGTTGTAGAGCCCCTTCTAAAAGAGGAGGGTATAACAACCACAGAGATGTCTTATTTTAAGTCACGTTGTTCGTTCCACCCTATTTTCATAAATACGTTCAAATTAGCTTATGAAAGCGCAAAATCTACCTTAGGTATTTACTTCGTTCCGTTTGCTGTTTTTTCATGCCAATGACTCGGATAAGGCTTAACAAAAGCACTGAAAATATGACTTAAAAATGAAATCACGCATAACTCAATCAAAGCAATTATTGTACATATGCCGGTGTTATGATTCCTCTTGATACCATTGCCGCTGTTGTTGTTTTTTTGTGGCGGGTTCTCAAAATTCTCCCCAAAGCATTATTGAAATATTTTTGTTCTGATATGCAAAAAAACAAAAAATTACTACGAAAACAAAAATATCCAAAGTAATTGCCAGCAAATAAATCTCCAATGAACGTTTAGCATTCGCATAAATGTGTTTAAGGGGCAAACACACACACACATGATTAGCTGCAAAAACACACAACAAACAATACATGTATGTATGAATGTATGTATATATGTAGTTATTTGTGTTATTAAAGAAACCAACAACAACTCCACCACATTTAAAGCTGCGGATTTCAGAAAACAACAAACTCCGCCACATTTAAAGCTGCGGATTTAGGACTTCCTTTCTTCCAAACATTTCGTCTTTGCAATAAGAGTGTGAAGAATATCGCCGCATACTGACTTTCATCTTCGCAAAATGCCAAAAAGCAACCCATAAGCACTCATGAACAAATTTGTTTTGTACTTATCATCCGCTCCATGTTTACCCGAACTTGGTTGTTAATATGGTGTCGTTGAAATTTCAACTGTCAGCTTTTTGACACTTCATTTCCACAATTGGCATATAAAGAGTACAAAGAAACCAAAACGAAATAAACAAATGACAGGTATTAACAGTCAGGGATTATGGGTAAAGTGAATGCGTGACACAATGGTTCAGTAAAGTCGGATATACTTATAGTAGGGAAGTTCTATTCAAGAGAGATTTGTTTTTTGTTTTTACCCAAAAGTCTGTACCAGTCGAATTTTCTAAAACGTGCATTAGCATTATGGTGAAAAATCGTAAGAATATTCATAGACCTTATAGCTTTAAGTACGTACCAATTTAATATTCCCAAATTATTTGGTATTCAATTATTGTCCATTGCAATAATTGACCACTTAAGAATATTTTAATATAATGAAAACAATGGAAAATAAAATTATAAAACCCAAAAATACTTTGATTTAATAACAGCTTTTGATATAACAGTCACTTGAAATGACATAAAGTGAATGACCATTGCGAAGCACAGCATTCAAACATAAAAATTATAGAAATTAAATTGTGAGTACTAAAGCCTTTCAAGTGTGAAATTGGTGTGTGGATTAAAAAAGAAACAATTGTAACATCGATCTTGTTCGGAATTGTATTTGAAAATAATATGGCATAATCTCTAAAAGTGATTAGAAATATCGTATATGGACACTTCCGCAGTCACTTACATGATTTTTGGAGGAAAAATAAAACTTTAAATTTTTTTATAATTCACCTTTAATACTTTTATAAAGTATTTTAAAGTCATTTTAGTAGAAAACCACTAAAGTCGGGCCGACCATATAATACCCTTCACCACTTTGGGTACATAAAAAAGATGCTCATATGTATAATATCTTGTAGATAGGACAGACATAGCTTCTTTGGAGGACAATTAAAATGGAATCGGGTGAAATTAAATGTGTGATCTAAATGGATACTTGTATCAATAAACCAGTAAGGAAAGTAGAAAAGTCGGACTGGGCCGACTATATGATACCCTTCACCACTTTATGTATGTTGAACATACATATCCTAACAGTTTCATGTCAATGTTCCCTCGAAGGGACATACACTTTTCTGCAACCTATGCTAAATTTAGTTTCAATCGGGCAGATTTAGAATGCGTACAATGGAACACATTTATGGAAATCGATGTATAGCGAACTTGACACGGCCTCAATTATACACCCGTTCGAAATATATATGATACGTTGTGCAAAATTTCGTGTCAATCCGACAAACATTAGAAGCTTGGTGCACCAAATTTCGTGAAACTTTGAAGCACTATTTACATAAAATCGGACGAAAATATATATGGGAGCTATATCTAAATCTAAACCGATTTTCACGAATCTTAGCATATGTAATTCTAGACTCAATTCAATGCGCTATACCAAATTACGTGCAAATCGAAATATATATATATATATATATATAGGGACTATGGTGCACCATTTACATAAAATCGAACGAAAATATATATGGAAGCTATATCTAAATTTGAACCGATTTTCTCGAAACTTGGCGCACATCATTCTAGACTCAATTCAGTACTATATGCCAAATTTCGTGCAATTTCGAAAGATATATAGGGACTTTGGTGCAACATTTACTCAATAGGGTTCGTCCTTGGGCAAAATAAGCGACTTGTGCCAAATTTCATCCAAATCGGATCATAAATGCGACCTGTACTTTGTTTACAATTTAACATCTACAGACGGACGGACGGACGGACGGACATGCATAAATCGACTCAGAAAGTGATTCTATTCTATTCTAATGTTTGTCCGATTAACACGATTTTTTGCACAACGTATCAAGTTGAGACTTGAATAACGTTAATGCGTTAGACATCGAATGGATGTCTGAATGAAATTAAAATTTTAACAGTGCGGCGACCGAACAGCGTGTATTAATTTTGCTAAAAGTCGTTTTTCATAAATTTGTCCCATGGTACGAAGTCGACTTTAAATCTGCCCGAATGAAATTAAATATATCATAGGTTGCAGAAAGACTTGCGTATGTTCCTTGGAGGGGATACATATGTACAATATACCCAAAGTGTTGAAGGGTATCATATAGTAGGCCCAGTCCGATTTTACTGCTTTCCTTACTGGTTTACTTATTTGAATCTACAATGCATATGGGTGTTTCAACTAATTAGTATATTATTTTTAAGATCTTCACCATAGTTTCAAATCAAATAGGTTGCAATGGTAAGATTCTTGCTCTCAGTAAGTGGAACCCCATACGGGATGTTACATACAGATCGTATACTATATATACCCTACACAACAATGTTGTCAGGGTATTATAGCTTTGTGCAGCCCCAAGAGTTTGTAACGCCGCGAAATATTGGTCCTAGACCCACCCACCTACCGATCGTCATATCTCGACTAGCTGAGTCGAGTGTGTCCATCCGTCCGTTTGTCCATTATAATTTGTAAACACGATACAGGCCGCAGTTATGGACCAATCTTCCCAAATTTGTCCATATAGGATGGGTTCTGGCCAATGAAGACCCCTATTGTTTTTGGTAAAGACCGGTTAATATTTAGGGGATGAAATGGACCAAATACTTAATTTTTGTCGGTTTTTCTGGTCGCTCCAGAGGCCGTAATTATGGTCCGAACATCGCGAAATTTTACACGGAGAAGGGGATCGGGCCATGGAATAAGCATGACTGTTTTATTTCCGTTTTAAACTTAAATAAGTGTTGCTTTTTATTACTCTTGGATGTTTTTTAAAAACAATAAAGATGATGGGGCTGTGTTTGTTGTTGTTGTGGTACAGATGTTATTTTTGTTGTTTGTATTATATTTTTAAGTTTTAAAGTCTTCTTAGGACACAAATACACTTTTTAGAAAGCGAAGAGGAGCAAGAAGGCCATCATAAGACAGGAAAGACCCATATCTTCAGAAAGGGCGAAAACCAAGATAGCGTAGGAGAACAATTGTTGTTTCAATGATGGATTTCTGGCATAACCAATGATGAGGGAACCGAATACTGATCCGATACCGGCACCGGAACCAGCTACACCGACTGTTGCAGCACCAGCACCAATGAATTTGGCAGCTGAATCAATGTCACGTGTGACGGGGGAGGTCTGGAATGACCTGATTTGTGGCAGTAAAGCAACGGGGGTTGTGTTCTGAGCGGCCAAGGTTTGGCTTTGGCTAATGACTGCGCTGCTCAATGGTCGCAAGTATTGCTTGGAGCCGTTAAGGAGAGCGGTCCTGGCAACGGGGGCAATACGGGAGACTCTTGATACGAACATTTTGATTTGTTTTTTGTTTTAAGTTGCTTTGAAGATCAACAAGTAATTGAAGCTAGCGCACGTAAGCTTTCGAACGAACCCTGATAATGATCGGCCAATATTTAGCGAATCAAATGGACCCTGACTTTTGTGTGAAAAATTACAAAATTTTTATTCTGGGGCGTACATATTTACTCCTGAAGGAGTTGATAGTTTATCCAATAGGAGTGGTTGGCCTTGAAATTGGTACCAAATATAGTGATGTATCTACTCAGATGTGAATGCTTACGCATTCAGATATTATTTAGTAACCCATTACCACATTAGAGGGTGGAAATATAGCGCTGATCCCTTTGAAATTTTCGATTAAGTTCCAGTTATGGTCAAGGACAACGCCTACATATTTCGGTGATGATCAGATTAAAATTTTGGGATGAAATGGACCGAAAATTTAATTTTTTGTGTGTTTTCGAGTGAATATAATCCGAACATCACAACACAACCCATCGTGAAGGGAATCTGAAATTCGAAAATGTAAGGGAGAGTTCTGTTGACCTCTAATCGGACAAGAGGGGGCAAGTATCACGAAATATGACCCAGACTCGGAATAAACATCCGCAGAAAGTTAGAGTTCCGTGGTAGTTGTGTAGGGTATCGTACGGTCGGCCCCGTCCGACTATACTGCTCCTCTCACTGGTTTACTGTTACTAACATAATTTCGAGGTGGTGGTGCCAGGGTGTACCTGTTTAAGTCGCCGGTTATATACCCCATATATTGAATAAGAATGAATTTGAAAATTCTTATTTGGTAAGAAAACTTCATGAAAACCTATGTACAAATTTTTATAAAATATATTAGATATTTCAGGAAGATTTACAATCAGATATATATGAATATTGGTCCATATTTTGTTCAAGAACTTGTATAATGCTGCCGTCCGACATTTGTCTTATAAATGGATTTCTTCAAGATTTAAAATCCGAATTGGCTGTGGCTCAGTATTTCCTTCTGTTTTGTTAAATTTCCCATATATCACCCGACTAGCGTCGTCATTTTTGCCATATGACCTCATATAAGGCATATGATTATTGCTGCGATTTATTCTAGGTTTTATTCATGATCCAGCGGATTGCATAGATGCCCAAAAAAATAAGGTGTGTTTCTAGTTTTTTTCTAATAAAATTTGTTTTGAGGTCAGATTTATCAGTTCATAACAATATATCATGGTCTCTGTCAATATCCTATTAATTTTAGGACTTCCCATATGTAATAAATGTTGTGTGTTAACAATTTTTTGTTGTTATTTCATAAATCAACTATGTGTGTTTTGTTTGTAAAGCCTGTATTATTTTCACATTTTTTAATACAACTTCACGGGAATTGATAATAAAATCTCTGCAGAATCTCTTTCTAATTGTCTGGTCTTTAAAAAATATGAAATTCTTTTACCTGTTATGGTGGTGGCCATAAACACCACAGTTGTTGTTGTCGTTATTGTTTGTCATGTAGTTGCATACATGATTTCATCTTTCATAGTCACAAGAATGTTGGCCTGAACCCGCAAACATACATATGTACATCTTCTTGTGTATGTTTTGTAGGTTCTCTTCATTTATGTCAGTATGCGGATGGAGTACATCTTTATTATTATTTGGTCATTTCTATGTGTCTTGTCTTGCATTTATTGTTGTTGTTGTTGTCGACGTTTTTTTTACGTTTCTACTTAACTATTGTTTCACTTGAATGTATGTATGGTGCAGCAAACAGCTCCCCCTGTTACCACCATTAAAAGTCCTCCCTGATGTGGAGAGAAGTCGGGTTGGGCCCTGTCATAAAACACATTGTGTGTGTGTTTTTTTTGGCCACACGGCTTTTGTAAAAATGTGAAGCATGTAGTCATTTAGTCACTTTATTTTTTCTTCACAACTTTGTATCCCCAATGAGAGTGAGTGAGTGTCTCTGATTGTCTGTCAGTCAGTTTGTCTGTCCTTTCATATGTTTTCTTCTTTCTGTGTCTGTCTGTCTGCCTGTATGTATGTTTATTACGGGTAACTTGTTCTACCCTTTTTTTCTCATTCGGCTATTTAACCATATTTTGTTATTACCGTGGCTGTTATTGTTGTTGTTGCTTTTGACTTAAAGCTGAAGAGTCGTTACAACAAAGCCTAGCTTAAGAGCAAAAGTAAACGACAACGCTGACGATGACGATGGCGACGACTTTTCTTCAATTTACCTTAAACTTGTCATGTAATTTTTAACATGTCTTTTGTTATAAATTTTTGACATTGACGTAGTAGATTTTCTAATGAAATTGTCATATTTTTTTGTAGTTGTTGTTGTGGTTATTACGATTGCTGTTGTTGTTGTTGGTTTCGTTGAATGCATTTTGGTGGGCCTGCCTTAACTATTAAGTAGACGGAGAGACAGTCGTAGTTGTATGTGTGTATGACCTTATGAGGGTCTTTTTATGCCCTACACCACACTCTGGTACAGGGTATTATGTATTTGGGCACATGTTTGTAACATACCAAAAGGAAGCAAGTAAAATCATTGTTATGTTCGACCGGGTCGAACTTTTGATATATCCTCCACTACGTGGTGTGCATTCAAAATAGCCGAAAATTATTCGGGGACTATATTATGGCATAATATGGTAAATGATTGTCCATGCACTGAAAAAATAATGTTTCAAATTACAGACACTCAGGTTGGAAACCTGGGATAGGAACTTCAACATATCGAAAATTAAAGGGCATATTTGTATGGAAGCTATTTTTAAACATTAGACTATATTGAACTTGTGATCTGTGCAGTATAGTGTAACGGGGCCGATAATATAAGCTTATGTGGAACTTATTTCCGAGCCTAGGAAATATTTGCTCGCTATTGACCGACTAGTGGTTTACAGACCCACCGCGGCATATTTTCCGAATTGTGTTTTTCCGGAGTAAAGATTAAAATTCTGTGATTTTACAATAAAAATCGAATAAGTTAGTCAGATCCCCTTCCCCGTGGAAAATTTGTATAATTGTGGGGTTTTGGTCCATAATCTCTGATCATCATCGAGAATTGTAGGCGCCGTCCTTGACCATAACCGGAACCTCAGGCAAAATTTCCTAGCCATCAACGCTAAATCAGCGCTATCTACCAAACAATATAAGAATATATGGACCTCTCTAAAAATTTACGTATAACTGCAACATCCGAATATAATGGTATCGTTTTAAAGATCAACCACACCCTTTGGATATACTCTTGGATCTATGTCTTTCAGGAGTAAATATATACGCCATAGAATATAAATTTTTGGACACAAAAGTCTAGGTACTTTTGACCCGCTAAATATTAACCGATGTTCATCAAAAAGTCTTCCCCATTTGTCAGTGTTAAATTTCGTGATGTTCGGATAAAGATTGTGGCCTCTAGAGCGACCAGAAAAACATACAAAAATAAAGTTTTTGGTCAATTTAATCATCTAAATATTTACTGATCATTATGGATTTTCTTTGGTCAGAATCCACTCTACGTATAAAATTCCGTGACGATTGGTCCCTAACTGTGGTCTGTATCCTGTTTACAAATTATACTGGACCGACGACTCAGCTAGTCGATATGCAAACTCTTTGTGTCACACAAACCTTATTGGGTAGGGTATAATAATTTCAGTACAGAAGATTTTGTTCTTTCCGAAAATCCGATATACCACATGTAGCCACTTCGATTAAAACCTTAATAACACTGAAAATAATCGGAGTGTTTGTACAAATTTACCAGAAAAATGTGTTTTACCTAATATCAGGCCAATGGAATATAGGATTTAAATCAAACTTTGTACAACCTATTATCCACATATAAGGCGAATAACATAAGCTCCGAAAATTATAGGCTGAAGGTATATATATATATATATATATATGTCGCTGATCAACACTTAATAACTTGTCTGTATGTATGTATGTCAGCCTTCAAAAACCCTCTATACCAAATTACAGCCACATCGGTAAGAAAATGCGGCTAAATCTTCAAAATACCGAAAATTGGTCGGAACCCCTTTGTGGAAGCTACCCAAAAGCTGAATTGATATTGCTAATTTTTTCAGAAAGATTTATCCCCCTTGGAAACCTGACAAATAAAATTTGAGTCAATTGGGTTGAATTACAGCCAATTTGGTTGAAACACTTGACCAAACTCCTCAGAATACCGAAGTTAGGGAAGTAACATTATATGGATGCTACCCTAAATAGTGGACCAATATTGATCATTTTAGTACAAAGATTTTCTAACCAGTGAGAACCCAAAATACCAAATTTCAGTTGAATAGATTACAAAAAGGCCCAAAAGTCTTCCAATATCGAATATTGAGAGGATACCGGTATATGGGGGTTAACCCGAAAGATGGACAATTTTATACAGCTGCGTGTTCTTCTTACTTAAACTCGGTCCAGAGTTACAGCCAGCTTTAATGTATAAATTTGTATGATTACTATCCGATTTAGATAATTTTATCGATTCACACCTAGTATCCAGGGTCCACCAAAAATGCTAGGTCTGTCCGATCGATATTTTGGTTATATGTGAACAACAACATATCTTTATATTTGGTTATAATACGAATCTCAGGTGAACCTCTTATATGTAACCAAAGTGGTGTAAGGTATCACATAGTCGTCACCGTCCGACATTGGTCTTTTCCTTTTTTGAACTTGTGGGTTTTCTTTTCATTCAAAATTCCTTTTTTCGTTTTGAGAAACGTTTGAGAATTCAAGATCACTATAAGAATAAGCATTTCACGAAGAAGGGTTGGGGGGGGGAGCCACAATTTTCTGGTGCATATGAATATGAGAGTGAAAAAAAACCAAACAAAATTCAACATAATTTCACAAAAAATGAGACATGTACGTTTGGTCATTACTTTTTTTGTTTTTGGGTGAAATGCCACAATTGGAATTTTAAATAGAAACATTATATGGTTTTTAAGGTGTATTTTTTGTAAATTTGTCATTTGGTTTGGGTCTTTTGTTTCATTATTTTGTGTATGCCATATTAACGGTTATTTCTATTCATAATTGTATTGATAACTTTATCTATTGTTGTTGTCGTCGTCGTCTATCT